GCCCAGACCTCTCCCCGGCACATTGTACATACTCTTCCCTCTTACGGGGGGGGGGGGGGCAGCCCCCCAATGGTGATCGAACAAGTCCCCCCCCATGATGATCGAAAAACTGATGATTCAATTAGGGGGCAAGACATCTAAAAACCAGCGAGGGGGCAAAAAATCTAAAAAGTAGCGGGGGGGTTGGGGGGGGGGCGGCAGCCCCCCCCACGATGATCAAAAAAGTGATCATTCAAGTTGTGGCCAAACATCTAAAAATAGCGGGGGGGTTGGGGGGGCGGCAGCCCCCCCAATGATGATCCAGAAAGTGATGATTCGATTAGGGGCAAAACATCTTGAAGTGGCGGGGAAGTTGGGGGGGGGTGGGGCTACCGCATGACCACAAATCTAAAAGTAGAGGACAAGTGATGATTCAATTAGGGGTAAACAATTTAAAAAGTAGCGGGGGGGTTTGGGGGGGGCGGCAGCCCCCCCCATGATGATCGAAAAACTGATGATTCAACTAGGGGCAAGAAATCTAAATAACCAGCGAGGAGGCCAAAAATCTAAAACTGCCCCTTAGATTTTTTGCCCCTAATTCAATCATTCGGTCGTCATGCGGCAGCCCCCCGTCCAACTTCCCCCGCACTTTTTCGATTTTTTGCCCCTCATTGAATCATCACTTTCTGGATCAGTAGCGGGGGGGTTGGGGGGGGCGGCCGCCCCCCCCATGATGATCGAAAAACTGATGATTCAATTAGGGGGCAAGAAATCTAAAAACCAGCGAGGGGGCAAACAATCTAAAAAGTAGCGGGGGGGTTGGGGGGGGCGGCAGCCCCCCCCACGATGATCGAAAAAGTGATCATTCAAGTTGTGGCCAAACATCTAAAAATAACGGGGGGGTTGGGGGGGCGGCAGCCCCCCCCATGATGATCCAGAAAGTGATGATTCAATTAGGGGCAAAACATCTTGAAGTGGCGGGGAAGTTGGGGGGGGGGGGGCTACCGCATGACGATCGAAAAAGTGATGATTCAAATTGGGGGCCACAAATCTAAAAGTAGAGGGGGGGTTTGGGGGGGGGGGGTGGCAGCTCGATGATCAAGAAAATAATGATTCAACTAGGGCAAAAAATCTGAGAAGTAGGGGGGGGGGGGCAGCCCCCCAATGGTGATCGAACAAGTGACTATTCAATTAGGGGTAAAAAATGTAAAAAGTAGCGGGGGGGCGGGGGTTGGGGGGGGGCGGCAGCCCCCGCCCAGATGATCGAAAAACAGATGATTCAATTAGGGGCAAGATAAAAAAAAAAAAAACAGCGAGGGGGCAAACAATCTAAAAAGTAGCGGGGGGGTTGGGGGGGCGGCAGCCCCCCCCAGGATGATCGAAAAAGTGATCATTCAAGTTGTGGCCAAACATCTAAAAGTAGCGGGGGGGGGGTTGGGGGGCGGCAGCCCCCCCATGATGATCCAGAAAGTGATGATTCAATTAGGGCGGGGGACGATCGAAAAAGTGATGATTCAATGAGGGCAAAAAATCTACATAGTAGTGGGGGGTTGGCCCCCCCATGATGATCGAAAAAGTGATGATTTGAATAGGGGTGGCATTTCAATTGAAAGGGGGGCAAGAGGAACTGAGGATGCAGGAAGCCACGGCCAATAACCAACTGGGAAAGCAGAGGATGCAAAAAGCCAAAGCCAAAAAGCCGCCAAAAGCCACAAAGCCAAAAAGCCACCTGAGAGAAACTGGTAATGCAGAGGATGCGAAAAGCCAAAGCCGCAAAAGCTGCATAAACCCAACAAAAAGCTGCAAAAGCCAAACAGAGAGGAACTCAAAAGACCAAAGGATCGAGAGACCAAAGGACCAAGGGACCAAGGGACCAGAGGACCAGAGGACCAGAAATGCAAGGATGAAGGGACCAAGACCAACAGAGCAGAGGCCAAAGATAACCAAAGGAGTGAGGGACCAGAGGATCAAGGGCTCCAGGACCGGGACCAAGGGACCAGGAAGGACCAGGAAAGTGGAGGACCAAGGGACCAAGGTGACCAAAGGACCAAAGGACCAAGGGACCAAAGGACCAAGGGACCAGGGGTGCTCAAGGAACCAGAAAATTACAAGCAGCATTTCAAACGCCAACCAAAAGAACAGAATATACAAGCAGCAGAGTGAGATTGTGGGAAGTTTTTTTGGATTGCTAAAAAAGTTTTTGTTGATGGCTGAAAGTTTTTTGCTGATTGCCAAAAAAGTTTTTCTTGATGGTCATCCCATATAAACCATGCCTTCTTTCAAAGGCCCTTCCACAGAATATTCACACATCATCTCACACAAAGCATGTCTTTTCAATAACTCTTCTCTACAGAAAATTCATTCATCCTCTCACCCAAAACATGTCTTTTTGCATGCCTTCTTTCACAAGGAAGCACATATCCTCTCACCAACCCCATGCCCTTTTTCAATGGCTCTTCCACAGAAAATTCAATTCACATATCCGCCCACACAAACCATGCCTTCTTTCAGAGGCTCTTCCACAAATAATTCACATATTTTCCCACACAAACCATGCCTTCTTTCAAAGGCCCTTCCACAGAATATTCACACATCATCTCACACAAAGCATGTCTTTTCAATAACTCTTCTCTACAGAAAATTCATTCATCCTCTCACCCAAAACATGTCTTTTTGCATGCCTTCTTTCACAAGGAAGCACATATCCTCTCACCAACCCCATGCCCTTTTTCAATGGCTCTTCCACAGAAAATTCAATTCACATATCCGCCCACACAAACCATGCCTTCTTTCAGAGGCTCTTCCACAAATAATTCACATATTTTCCCACACAAACCATGCCTTGTTTGAAAGACTCTTCCACAGAATTCACATATCCTCTCACCCAACACATGTCTTTTTACATGTCTTCTTTCAATGAAACAAAGGCAGCATATGTGAAAGAGTTGCCAAGGAAAGGGATCCCTGTGTAGAATAAAGCCAGGCTATGGCTGGGACAGTTTGTGTTACATAAATGGTGGTTTTACATGATATTTACTGTCTTTTGCTGTACTTTTAAAACCCTGACTCTTCCACAAAGACCCACATATCATCTCACACAAAACATGTCTTTTTCAATAACTCTTCTCCACAGAAAATTCACATATCCTCTCACCCAGAACATGTCTTCTTTCACAAATGTTCACGTATCCTCTCACCAAAACACGCCATTTTTCAAAGGCTCTTCCACAGAAAACCCAGATATCTTCCCACACAAACCATGCCTTCTTTCAAAGGCCCTTCCACAGAATATTCACACATCATCTCACACAAAGCATGTCTTTTCAATAACTCTTCTCTACAGAAAATTCATTCATCCTCTCACCCAAAACATGTCTTTTTGCATGCCTTCTTTCACAAGGAAACACATATCCTCTCACCAACCCCATGCCCTTTTTCAATGGCTCTTCCACACAAAATTCAATTCACATATCCGCCCACACAAACCATGCCTTCTTTCAGAGGCTCTTCCACAGATAATTCACATGTCTTCCCACACAAACCATGCCTTGTTTGAAAGACTCTTCCACAGAATTCACATATCCTCTCACCCAACACATGTCTTGTTACAAGACTTCTTTCAATGAAACAAAGGCAGCATATGTGAAAGAGTTGCCAAGGAAAGTGAACCCTGTGTAGAATAAAACCAGGCTATGGCTGGGACAGTTTTTGTTACATAAATGGTGGTTTTACATGATATTTACTGTCTTTTGCTGTACCTTTAAAACCCTGACTCTTCCACAAAGACCCACATATCATCTCACACAAAACATGTCTTTTTCAATAACTCTTCTCCACAGAAAATTCACATATCCTCACCCAGAACATGTCTTCTTTCACAAATGTTCACGTATCCTCTCACCAAAACACGCCATTTTTCAAAGGCTCTTCCACAGAAAACCCAGATATCTTCCCACACAAACCATGCCTTCTTTCAAAGGCCCTTCCACAGAATATTCACACATCATCTCACACAAAGCATGTCTTTTCAATAACTCTTCTCTACAGAAAATTCATTCATCCTCTCACCCAAAACATGTCTTTTTGCATGCCTTCTTTCACAAGGAAACACATATCCTCTCACCAACCCCATGCCCTTTTTCAATGGCTCTTCCACACAAAATTCAATTCACATATCCGCCCACACAAACCATGCCTTCTTTCAGAGGCTCTTCCACAGATAATTCACATGTCTTCCCACACAAACCATGCCTTGTTTGAAAGACTCTTCCACAGAATTCACATATCCTCTCACCCAACACATGTCTTGTTGCAAGACTTCTTTCAATGAAACAAAGGCAGCATATGTGAAAGAGTTGCCAAGGAAAGTGAACCCTGTGTAGAATAAAACCAGGCTATGGCTGGGACAGTTTTTGTTACATAAATGGTGGTTTTACATGATCTTTACTGTCTTTTGCTGTACTTTTATGAGTCACTGCAACCCTGACTCTTCCACAAAGACTCACATATCATCTCACACAAAACATGTCTTTTTCAATAACTCTTCTCTACAGAAAATTCATTCATCCTCTCACCCAAAACATGCCTTCTTTCACAAAGGTTCACATATCCTCTCATGCTCCGCAAATGTTGCGCAACATTTGGAATTTGTTGCGCAATATTTCCCTGGACCAAAAAACCAAAAAACCAAAAAACCAAAGAATCCCAGCCATGGTGGGGGCTAGGATTGGTTTTTTGGTTTTTTGGGTTTTTGGTGTTTTGGTTTTTTGGTTTTTTGGTTTTTTGGTTTTTTGGTGTTTGGTTTTTTGGTTTTTTGGTCCACAGAATAGCCTGGCAGAAAATGCATGAGTTCAATCAAAATTCACTGTAAATTTCAATGGTTTTGATACATGATGCAACGACACCTGGGTACTGGGGCGGGGTACCATATATATATATATATATATATGTATACATATTCAACCGCTTTCAACCCGGCGGTAACCAATTGGACACCCGCTCGCGACATCCGAGGCGGGCGCCAGATTGCCACGATGACCTAGGCCCACCCCAATCGGGTGCCCAAAGAAACCCCTCACAGAATTATGAGTCACAATGGTCTACCCAAATCCATGTAAGGAAATTCAGAAGGCAGCCGAACCTATTTCTGGCTGGGACCCTTACTAATCTTCATCTACCCGGGTTTTGATTGTTGCTCATATTGACGAGGATGAAACCAAATATTCAACAAGTAAAGGCCTTAGGCCCTTTGGGCCTCCGGCCTGCTTTGGCCTCCTTTCCTTCCCCCCGCGTTTGGGCTCCCGAAAAGCGAGGGAAGGCGTTCGGCGCGAAACCTACGATTACATGTGCGTGCTGGAGAGTGGGGGACGGTCCTGCGTTGTGAACTATGCAGTATACATGTGTAGGTTTACATGTGTGCATGTATATGTATAGTGTATATACATGGTGTATATACATAGACACATGTTGCTACCGTAACATGATAGTTGTATATGTGTCTGTATATAGACCTACGCACATATGTTTGTGCCGATTGTGCGCAACCTCCAAGGCTGCAGCAATAGGACAGCGCATTGAAAAATAGCAGGCTCTCCAAGCGCGAATAGTTGTCCTCCTCTTCATTGATGTCCCTTGAACACCCTACAAGCTGGAAACTACTTGGGGTCCGCTTCTTTGGTGGTCGCCTTTTAGGATTTGAAAGGAAAGTGCCTTTTTTGAAAGCCTGCTAACTTCAAAACTCAGCGCTTAATGTTCTGCGTGCCCGTGTGCACACAGTCTAGATCCTCAGTCCTTTGCTGGCGGTACGGCATCCGCCCTGCGGGGAGATCTCTGTGCACAAACCGCAAATACCTGCCCAAACAGGGCCCTGACTTCTGTGCCGCAAACCAAAAAAGGGCTCTGAAACCAATCCCACGGCAATGGCCCTGCCCCAAAGCCCAAACAGGTATGTATCAGTGTGCGAAGACATCCATCGTTTGGGAGGTTGCCATTTCTTGTGAGTACTGCTCAAGGGTATCGCTCGTCTGAGCTCCTGGCAATCATCCAGAAGTTGGTGCCAGAAGCTTTGACCTTCGATGTGAGCCATTGTCAAAACTCCGGATATGAAGCGTGGTCATTCCCTTGCATGTCACGATTGGCTTTATCTCTAAGTTGATGATTATCCGGCCCTGAATACATGTGACAGCCAAAGCCACAAAGTGCCACAGAAGCGGGAGGGGCGTGGATTGGAGGGGTGTTGCCGAAGGATACACACAACTCTTCGCGCATTTCCGACTCTGGTACCCTGAGAACTCGAATTCATGCTTTCACTTTGGGTGGCTCTCAAATTAGGGACCCCATCCAGATGGTTGGTGTCCTTTTGGTTTCTGTTTAAACCCATCCAAAACGGGTTCCTCTATTTTGAGACAGGCCTTCATTTTTTTTTGTTTTGATTCCCTCAAACGGGCGGGTTTCCCTTGAGTGTCCGCGGGTGGCCTTTTGTCTTTCCGAACCAGCTTGTCTCAATGCCCTTTCCCCCATGGTTTCTTCAAAATGGGGGAACCCGGATTCTCGCATCCACCCGTGACAAAAAAGCACATTCATGATCCGGCAAGGTCTGGGTTTCCCCAGTTGGCTGCGTCTCCATCCTTTGGAAAGGCATTTTGAACAGGGCTCCAGATTCGACTTGCCACAACCTGTGCTCCTACGTTTTTGCCGGTTCTTCAAACTCGACCCGCAATCCGCTCTCAGAGCGCCCAATCCGATCGGAAATGGATGTCGAGGGAGGACCCCTCCAAATGCTAGGTGTCCATGTTGTCCACCTCCTTCTACAAATTAAATACTCACAATATGACAGTATACACTCCTATTAGTGCTTTTAAACTCAGCTCCAAAACCCATACCTGAAACCGTAGCGGAAATGAGCCCTTCCCGTCCAAATCCACCAGGCTCTCTCCAAGGTTGCGGCTTCTGGCACCAGCTTGGAAGTGCGCTCTTGCGCCTGAGTCGGAGAAGCGGTCTGCAAACTCACAGAGCTTGACATCCCAAATCACCCGTCTATGTCACCTATGTGTCACTGCTTGATTTCCTGGTTTCCCTTCGACCCCAAAACGGCCTACCTCCAAAAACGATCCCCCCTCCTCCACGCCCGCGCGCCCGCGTGAGGCCCCCAGGCCCCCGAACCCCGGGCCCCGCCTCTCGCCCATCTCGCTCCGTGGCCATGGCCGCCGAGCTCTCTCCGACGACCGATGGAAAACCAGCGCCGTGGGGCCGTGGCTCAGCTCACAGAGCTCACAGAGCCACAGAGCCACGGAGCCAGGCAACATGGAGGCAGCTGGTGTGGATTGAATCCTCACTCTGGGACAAAGCAAAGAATTAACCATTTGGGATCCCCGCAAAGGGCTTCCTTTCGGTTTCCATGAAAAAAGAACAACCCCCCAAAGGTCCCGGCCCAAAAGAAATCCGTCCGTCGCAGGATGGTCTCAAAGGAGGGGAGCCTGTCACAACACAGCGAGGGTCTAAGTGCTCAGAACAGCTTGGCATGGTGGCCTGCAACAAAAGCGCCCAGGTGAGTTCCCACAAAGCCCCCAGGTGAGTTCCCACAAAGCCCCCAAACTGAGCCTCAATGGCTTCGTGCCCAAGCCCAATCTTCAACCACCCTTTTGAACAAGTAACGGGGATTTCTGGTGCACAGTCAAAAGGATCTGGGCCATCGATGCGATTCGACGAGAGACGAAAGTTTAAACGACCAGACCCTGTGACCGGATCCGGCTAAACAGGAGGCCAAACAGGAGGCTGATTAAACAATAGTCGGGTAACTTCCTCGTTCCCAGGAAAACTCCAAGGAACAGAGCTAGGTTGAACGATGTTGTTTTTCTTTTTGTAAAGGAGAGCAACATTCAGACACCACAAGCTCAGGTTTGAGGCCGAGGCAGATGTTTGAAGCCCCAAAGGGGGGAACAACCCAGACCCCCTCTAGAGGCTCCTCATGTTTGAACAGTTGCATTTCCGTGATGGCATAATGGTCGAGTCCTACTTTATCAAAGAGATTTGAGTCTGTATCTTACAGGGAAGCCCCAAGAATCTGTGGCTTCCCTCGCTTTCCCTTGTGGCTGCAAACCCGAAGAACGCCAACGAACAAAGGCCACACGGAGCTCCCGGCCCGGCCTCAGCACCACCGGCGCAATGTGCAGCAGGGAGGCCGAGCCCAGCAAGATGAGGCAGAAGCTGCGCCCAGGCGCCCAGTGTCCGGCGCCGGGTCCCCGCCGTGCGCGAGATGTCTTCATAGGTGGCCGTTTGGAAACAAATCGATGGGTTTCCCTGGCAAGTGGAACTTCTGACCAAGCTAAACCAGTGGAACCCATCTAGTTCTGCCCAAACTAACCTACAAAGGACACCTAGAGATGTCTTCTTTTCTTGCGAGGCGCCGTGGAAGCATTCGGGGACACATCCTGAACTCCCAAGAGTCTCCTCACCAAACCCAAAGGAAACCGAAAGAACTCGGTGGCGAAATCTGCGAAGCCCCACTAAAAGTGACGAACGTTGAGTGGTCTAGTACGGAAAACCCATTAGTTGGATCAAAAAGCTAAAGTCCTAACAGCCCTTGGCAAAATGCACCAAAGAGAAGTCATCACATTCCCAACACGTTCAAAAGAACGCCCCGAGCTGGTTGTGCTCCAGAGACCTTGGCACAAGCCGAGCAGATTGTCTGCTGTGTTGATCATCTTTTGGCGAGCAACTTCCCTCAAAGCAAAATATACTGTGTGGTGATACATAGGTTCTAAACACTACATAGCAGACCTCTGTCCTGTTGGTTTCCCCTGAAAGATCATCCACAAAGGGGAAGCCCTATTCACCAAAAAACAACTCCCCTGCATGATGTGGAACCTTCTGGGGTCAACAATCGTTTGGAGCATGCATTTTCTTGGAGAGGGGGCTTGCATGCCGCACGGTGAGCATGCGCTTAGAATCCATGCGTGACCATCAGCATGCGCACACGTTTGGTCAGCTTTTCACTACCCTGGTAGGCAATGGCATAGTTGCAGCAATCTCGGATGACCTGGTTAATGAACAGGGTACAACAGAAAGGGCTTCCCAAAGACTAACCCCCCAAAAAAAGGGAGATATTCCCATGTATCACAGAAATGGGGGAAGAAAAAAAACTGAACCCACAACCTTGAACAGGGAGGTCCCATTGTTTTCGGGAATCCTTCAGTGAACACCTAGTAGAAATCCAGGTTCAAAGGTGCTTCCAAATGCTTCCAAATCATCGCTGCTTTGCGCGCCTGATCACGTACGTCGACGTTGCCTGCTTTGACCAGTCCTGCCGAACTTTCTCGCACGCTTGAGAAAGAACCAACCAGGGTTCCACTTTTGACTACCCCGCAATGGACTTAAACCCAGGGGCTCTCCTTTCGGTGGGAATGAACCATGCCTGGGTTTAAGTCTACCCTGCTGGGGTCAAAAAGTGGAGCCCTGGAACCAACGCGTGGAAAGAATTCAACTTCTCCGAAGGTCTCTTGGTGCCGACCTCGTAAGAAACGAGTCGGTCTGAGAATGCGAATTCGGCTTCCCCATGTGGCGGGTTGCGAATTTGGTCGGTGTGGGTCAAATTAAACCAGGATACAGACCGCTGGTTTTAGCCCTTTCCACCCTATTCCTGACCCACAGCCATTTGGCGGTTGAAAAGTCAAAAAGAAACAAGCAACAGCCAGCGCGAGTGGCCCATCCTGAGTCCGAAGGGGGCGTTTTGGCTTTGCAGTCCTTCAGTCATGGGCTTGTTTGCAGTCTTTCTCTACTAGACATGCAAAATGTTGATCTTCCGAAAGGTTTCAAGTGTACCAAACCAATTGGAAGAGGGGGTTGCCCCTAGCCACCCGCAAACTTCATGAACGGGCCGGAGCCAAGCTGGTGACGGCAACGAGTTTGGAGCCCTTGGGAGCGGCAGCCCGGGCCAAACGAAATACCAGACGAAAAACCGCAAACAAAACAGAAGCCAGCGCAAGCAAAGAAGCAAGCAGAGAAAAGAAGAAAGAGAAAAAACCAGCCAAGCCGACCCAAGCCAGGCCGACAAACCAACAAACCCATCGACCACTCAAGAGCTAGCAAGCAAGCAATCAAGCAACCGAGCAAACAACCAAGCCAGCAAGCAAGCAGCCAAACAACCAACCAACCCACCCCAAACGGAACAATACCAAGCCCCAACAAAACCCAACCAAGCCCAACCCAACCCAACCAAACAAACAAGCAAGCAAACAAGCAAACAAGCAAACGAGCAAACAAGCAAACAAGCAAACGAGCAAACGAGCAAACGAGCAAACAAGCAAACAAACGAAACCAAACCAAAAAAACAAAACTAGTGGGCGTTTGTCACCACCATCACCCCCACGCCCAAACAAACGTCCGCCCCCCCCCCCCGCCCCTGTCTGCCGTCCACCACGGCGAGGCCGCTCTGTGACACACAGCTGGCGGAGGTGTAGAGCGCCTGGGGGAAGGTGAAGGCGCCTGGCACGAGCTGAATGCGAACCTGGCTCTGAAACCAGCAGATCATCCCCTAGGCACACATTGCGTATGTTGCCAGTGGCACACTTGGGGGAAAACTCGGTCTCTTGGGAGTGGCTGCTTGAACAACCTCCTGTAGGCTTCCCTTTGGGTAAAGAGGGGTCCCTGGGTCTCTCAGACGGGTTCTCTACGCCCCCAGCACCCGCGCCCTGCGGTTCCAGATACCACATCAGCACTGCACCCAGCAGGATCACCGTGACCTCGGCTCCGACCGAGAACCCTCCCCGGGTTAGGACACGAAAGAAAAACCAAAGGAAACCCACACCCCTCAGATTGAAAGGAAATCAAACATGAACACAGCCTGCATATGATTGCACCAAAACTTGGAGTTTGTTCCAGTGATCAGCGCGCAAGGCCCACTGGTGCCTACTTCACTTATTCCGGTTCTATGTGAACCTGTCAGGATCAGTTTGCCTGCATAGCGTCGCTGCGAGAGCCAGCCCGGCCGGAAAATATTCAAGAGGTTGGTTTCACGTTGGCGTCCTGGCAAGAGACACATCCGCACAGAGTCCCTAGGTTTTGCTCTCATGCACATCCCGTCTTGGAGTCAGGCGATGTAGCCGGCATAGCACCTCTGGGCGCGCACAAGGATTGGTCGGCCCTCCAAATCTAGGGTTCAAACCTGGTCTACCAGAATGCAGCAGAAATGCTGAGAAAGGTGGCCACACTTTGACTTGGCCACATGCCCTCCAAGAGTAACACTGATACTGACAGCACATATCTGGAAGCATTGATGACCATCCTGCTTTCGCTCACGTAGCCAGGCGAATCACACACGTACGCTGGAATGGGCAGCTGAGGACACTCGGAGCCTCGAGCAAGTGGGCCCCTTATTGCCCAAACAAACGAAATGAGCCTGGTGTCAAATCCAAAGATTCCCTTTTGACATGTTTTCAGTAAGAGGATGCCAACCATGTGGAAGAGTCAGCCTCATTTTGACTGGCCGTCTAAAGCAGGCCGTGACATTGAAACCTGGGAAATAGAGCCCTGCTCTAGGGCTGGGAGGTGCAGAAAAGGACCTCAAGCACGAAGGCCGCAAGAGTGTTTCACGAAAAACCCGAAAACTTGTGTGACACTATGTCCAAAACAAGGTACCCTGTCCATGGAACCCAGAGGCTCCACTTTGGGAAACAGTCCAGGATCCCTCGGTGAGGTTCCATGTTGGATGGGATACCTATCCCGAGTAAACCCTCTCTCTCAGGTCACGAGGCTTCGAAGGGAGGAAGCCTGGGCCTGTCGTGGATGGGCCGTTGAAAGGAAAAGTGAAAGAGAAACCACCCACGAAGGCACCAGTTGGCCTCGAAAAATCAACCTTCAACTGGTTCCAATCAGATTTCTGGCTCCCCCAAACCAGAAGACGGCCATCCAACTTCTGCTCTTCGGGTCTCCTTCGGTTTTGGAGACCCGCCGACAAACCGACAAACCCGCCGGGTGACCGCCCCAAAAAAGGGAATCTCTGCGCTTAGCTCAGGCCGCCGGCCAGTAATAGAGCTCCTCGATGAAGAAGAGCAGAGAGAACTGCTTCTTCTTCTCCTGGACCTGACAACATGCCCACTGTTTCCATTGGTTTTTGATGGAGTCCCTTGAGGTGGGTGCACTTTGAGCGCTTCTCAAAGACTTTTTCTTGCGGAATGGTGTTTGACAAACATCTGCAGACAGGGTTGTGGGTGCACTTTGAGGGCTTCGAACAGAGTTGCTTGGGGAATACCAAAGTGGTTGCTTCCCACGGCTACTTTATCAGTGTCAAGGGGATTTCACAGAAACCGGTTGGACTTTTAGCAACGAAGAAGTCCGGGAGTGCCCTTTGACCAGTTGGGCTACACCCTTGTGCGACAAAATCCCCACAGTGTCGCTAAGAAAGCTCCAAGCCTTAGCGCTGTCCAAGGCTAGTAGAGCTTTGGCCGGGGAGTGATTCAATGGCAGATGTGCAGGGACTGGTCAAGTTGTCAATCAAATGTCTGTTCGGGTGTCCAAACTGGTACAAGCAAACAAGGACAAAGAGAAAAAGTGGCAGACAACTCTTTGACAGGCCCAAGGAAGTGCGTGGTACCGGTCGTATCCACAGCACAAGTAAGTGTGACTTGGCAAATGTCCCCTTTGAGCATCACTTGTCCAAAGGAAACTCACTTCAGTTTGTCCCAATTGGTGATGCTGAACATCTTCATGAGAAGGGAAACCAAGACGTGTGTTGTTGATCACTTCTTGCTTAGATTCAAAGACTCAAAGATCGGACATTGGCCCAATTGATAGAAGGGGCCTTTGTTTCATGGTAGTCCAAGGGAAACCAGGAAGAAGCCGACCAGTTGGAGTGGTCCGCTATGTCAGAACAGGTTTAAGTCAAGTTTGAAATGGTCGGTGTCATGGCAATCCTTGAACCGCCAACGACCCACATGCCCAGAAGCTAGCGCAGCGAAATCAGCAGGAACTCACTTCAGATAGGATTCTGCTTCAAAATGACTAGAACTATTTTTCGGCAGACCCCTCAGATCTTCCACAGCCAAACCAAAACGCAAAGGTGTCCTCTTGACTCGGGCTCCTGGCAATGAACCAGTCGATGCCCATGTACGCCTGCGCATTTTCTCGCGAGTCGCATCGAGTCGCTGCAGCCAGCTGCAAGCCCGGTTCAATCGCTCGAATCTTAGAATATGTCGTCCAATTCGCCCACTTGGGGGATCACTCGCGCACCTGAAGGCAACTTCGATGTTACGTGGATTCGCCAAACAATTTGGGGTGGTGGTGTGGCCTTTCGCGGTTCGCAAACACATCACCACTTTCACCCACTTTTCGGGGTGAGCAACAAAGCTAACCATGCCAAGCAACTTTGCTACAATCTTTCTCTGACAGTCAACCTGTTAACGGTTTTCCTGAAAGCATTGCGAAGGGTTCTTCAGGAGAAATGTGGTGCCGAGCACTCAAGCCAAGTTGCACTAGCAAGTTACATCAGAAATGGCTGGAGCAAGTTACACAAGCAAGCTACATCACAGGTTGCTAGAGCAAGTTACACGAGGAACATACCCGAGAGGCTCAAGTTGCACGAGCAAGTTCTCTAAGACATTGCTTGCGCAAGTTACAAGAGAAGTGTTCTGCGGTGTTTGGCTGGAGGTCTCGCATATTAGCGCAGGGAAGAATGCAAGCAAAGCTCGACAAGTATAAATTACTCGTTGAAGGCGGCTGGGCCCTTTGCAGGGATTGATGTGGTCGATGTGCAAAATCAAGGGCTTTTGCTGTTTTTCAACGTCGCCGCGCAACCCTTTGCGGGGATTGGCGTGGCCGATGTGCACAAACTGCCGGCTTTTGCTAATTTTCAATTTTCCCGCACGACCCTGCGCGTGGACCTGCGTGTCGCGCACCGCCTGTGCGTGGACCGGCGTGGCCGAGGTGCTTGAAACTCAAGGTTTCGACTTTTTGCGGTGCGCCTAGCGACCCTCTGCGAAGATTCTGTGGGCAAATCCCGCTCGGTCCGCACGGCTTGGACTACTTTTTAAGCGCCGGCTAGAAATTAACCAACTGTTTAGTACGAAAATACTGCGCGAAGTACACTTTCGCAGCTCGGGCTAGAAAATCACAACTTTTGAGAACGGAAGTAGTACGGGAAGTACACTTTTGCAAGTCCGAAAATAAAATCGAACTTGCGGCGGAAGACTGCCGTGTTGGGGTCAGCGAACTTGCGCAGAGAACTTGCTCAGAGAGCTTGCCCAGAGAACTGAGTAGCAATTTGAGAAACAAATGCTCAGAGAGCTTGTTCAGACACACTTGCTGAGAGAAACTTGTTCGGAAAACTTGCGCGGTTCTTGCACAGACAAACTTGCTCAGAGAACTTGCCCAGAGAAATGTGCTCAGAGAACTTGCGCAAAGAAACTTACGCAAAGCTTCTTGCGTAGAGAACTTGCTCAGATTGCGCAAGGAACCGAATCACTGTGAGGACATGCTCTACTCGGTCAACCGCCTTCTAGTTGTTGGAAGCCGCCAAACAAACAAAGCGCAGTTTAAGAAGCCACGCCCTTTGTGCCTGTGTGTATGCGTATTTGCGTGTGTGTCATATCCTCGGACGACATCAGCGGATAACCCAGGCGCTCAGCTAAAAGGCCTTTTATCCCACATTCACTTTAATAGGGGAGACAAACGTATACTAACACGTTTCTAGCATCAGCCACCTCAAACGCAGACATCCCAAAAATGCACCATGCGCGCTCTTTCGACTTGCGCAACCTCTTGAATAGAGTTTTCAAGACCATGTCTGTGTGCTGTTATGGCTGTGTGCTGGTGGGGGGCAAAGTGCCATTCAGGGCTGCTCCAAAGACACGGGGCGCAAGGGTAGAAGTTGGACCCTTCCAAAAGAAACCAAACAACGACAACGGCGACGACTACCACAACCACAACAAGAATGAGAACAAGAGGAACAACAGGAAGAACAAGAAGAGCAGAAGTAACAAAGAAGGAAAGGAACCACAAAAAGCAGCAACAGCAAGGACAACGACAACGACAGCAACAACCACCTCAACCAAAACAAGGGAAAAGGTAAAGCAGACCCCATTGCCCATGACCCTTTAGAACCGGACCCTGTGGCCTTGCTAAAGTCTGCAAGAACCTCAGCATGCAATGCGCATGCCTAGAACTTGGCAACCACAACAGCTGCAAATGGACTTGTCGAAGCTTCACTGACCGGCACACAGTAGGGAAGGGGACCGCAGGCAGACATATCCGGGGAGCAAAAAGCAAATATCCGTCAAATGCAAACAACCCGCAAGGCTTGCCTATGGAAAACGCCGTCTGCTGCCTTCCGCCTCCGTGTCAAATATATGTAAAACAGCAAACCTGAAATCGCACAGATACACTCGGTTGCTGTCCGCTCCCCCGCTAAAAGTTTAACTTTTAGTGGTTTCATGGAAAATCCAGTAGGTGGCAAAAAGTGAAAGTCCTGACATCCAAGCAACATGGACCAAAGTAAAATATGGCTGTGGGTCAAAACCAATGGTACCATTTTGTGGTAGGTGCACCACCCATTTTTGTCTATGTTAGTCTACTTTAGTGGGGATTGGGATGTTCACTGGGGGTACGGACTTTTGACCTATGGCCATATCTAAAACAGCAAAAAAGAAATCGCACATAAACGTGTCCAGGAGCAGGCCAACGCAGCCTGAGAAGCATCGACACGAAAGCCGATAAATACCCCATCCTTCTCCAACATGAGTCCGCCACTTGTTCAAAACCCCTTGCCAGAAGCGGCAGTCGGTTCACGGGGACTCCAGACTAAGCCACGCCTCGCGTTTCACTCACTTCACCTGCTTGCGGCGCATCAACTACAAGGGTGTCTGGCACTCTAGAACACAATCGATCCCTGAGATGGTTGCAATTGTTTTGCCATGTACGGTTTCATGCTTGCCCCAGCTCTCCCAAGTGGACCATCTGCCAGGCACCCC